AATTTTTTATCACGCGAAAATATTTTTTCCTGTACCCCCTTCAGGACTTTTTCGTCTCAAGGGGAGGGGGGGCCTCGCCCCCCTGCGTACGCCACTGCATTAAACTCTAATCACAAGCATTAACTCGCCCTCTATCGGTTTACATCTAATAGAATTTGGATTCCCACATCTTCTTTCATTTGTGAAAAACATATTCAAAGAAAATACACAATCAACAAGTTTTTACTTGTCATTTTGCTATCACTAAAGATAGCAGTGAATACATGCTGTAGTACTAACTCGATTTCTTTCAATACTGTTGCTCTAAAACTTTCAGAGCAGACTTGTCATCTCATCGAAACTTTTTACGAAAATTTTCAAATAAATTGGTCACAATCATCATGGAAAAGATTCAACTGTGTTGTATATATAACAAAAAAAAAATTAGAAGTTAGAAATGTGGAATTGAAGCGGGAAGAAAAAAATCATGAAGCCAGAATTTTAGGAGCAATGTTTACTATAGAGTTCTGCGCTGATTCAAGTTTTCAAGCCGATATCCAACCCAAAAAATTCTATTTATTAATTTAGGTTCAATTAAATATTTCGTTTACATATATCTATTCGCTAGATGTTGGAAAGTTTTATCGAGATACGAAATGCATATCAAAATAGCATCAAGAAACTTTGCTAGTTCTACAATCGTTTCAAAACCTATTGTTCTTTCATAAACTTTGAGGAAATCTTTTGGACCTTAAATAGATTATTATATCAACATAAGATTATTGAAATGTAAAGTTGCAGGCTTGAACTTTGCTAGGAAAATGACAAAATTGTTGCATGCTTTTATGAGAAATCTGTAAAAATACTAATTACTAACAAATGATTTACGAGCCATGGTATAATTGTTGACTTTTTGTCTCTTATCGACAGAGATGTTTTAATAAGAACTACGATATAAGACAATTGCTAATGCCAATCTACTTTTTAATAGATATGTACTAGAATAAAAGTCATTTTTTTATTTTTCTTTCCTAAACATGTCGATCAGGAAGTGAAAAGAATCAGCAACTATACCATTACTGTTTCATCGAATGCTCTCGGAATTACATTCTTAAAAACTCTAAACGAAAGAATAGGTTAACATTGTTATAGTTTCTTAGTATTACATCAGGCGATGTAGCTTGAAATTCTGCAACTATTTTCAAGTATTTTGATATAACGATCTTCTAAGATTGTAATAATTTTTTTATAGATTGCATTAACAAAAAATGAAGCCGAAATTACCTACAAGCCGGGTCCGATAGCAGGACTCTAGTTTACTATCATATTTCGTCAGTCCGACATCATGACATTTTTGCGAGATGTTCAACAAACAAGAATCCGAAATTCTCTGTAGGTCTTTATTGTTTAGATTTCTTTCTCTTTTTTTTTTTATTTGAAAGAACATGTCAGACTGCAGTACTCTTGTTTTTAAGTTCTTATTTTCTATACCGAGAGAAAGGACGACGACAAGTTCAATGTCTCGAAAAAGGATTATCTATTTATAGAAGTGCTTTTTATATATGAATAAAAAAAACGACATCTGCCAGATACTATAGCATCAGGCGCTCTGTCAAGCAAATAGTAAAAAGGAATTGATTACAATGAAGATCTTCGAAAATGTAATAGTATCAAATTTAATGATTGAATTGTATTAAAAAACTACTGTTAAAGTCCCCAGTTTCAATCGTCTAGAATTTCGCAGCCTTGACATCGAGAGAGTGCCTATGTTTATTTGAAACTTGACATTTTTATTAAATCCAGCCTTTTCATTTTACATATTTATGCGAAAAAAGAGATTATACGTGGATAATTTTCAAAACTAGGAGAATGTCACGTTCTTGGTTTCATTATAAAACTAATCTAATATTTCAAATTAGTCTATCATTTATACTTACCAACAATATCACTATCTAATTGATTTCGTAGAAGATTAATTGTATCTTGAGATCCAGCTAAAATAAATAGAATTCATGTTAACCTACTTTAAAAAAAACCAAGAAAAACTAATTAGTTTACCATCATCAGGTATTCGATTTTTCTTTAACCATGTTCCACAAGCAAATTCAAAGAAATTTTCACATGGTTCAGCAGTTTTATCAATACTTTCGAGTAAATAATTTGCTATCAAAATTTAAAAAAAAAAAAGAACAAATTCAATTTATACTTTCAAATAAAACTAACCAGCTTTAATACAATATGGAGTTACACATAAATCACTATTGACTAGAAACAAAACAAAAATAATTGAAAATAGAAAATGAAATTTTTCATACCTGTGGTATCCGTAGTTGGTGTCGGTCCCGATGTCAGTCCTGGTGTCGGTGTCGGTGTCTGTTCCGATGTCGATGTTTTATTCCTTTCAACTCCATACAAAGCAGCAAATACAATGGTCAATATAAGGAATACTCCCAGAAGAGCAGCTAATACATATATTATCTTTCTATATTGTATTCAAACAAAGAGAAAAGAAAAAAAAATTATTTTTAATTTTGATAATAATGAATAATGTTTTATCAAAAGTTTGTATTGACAAAAATAGAAGACTTACGTTTTTGAATGATGATTATCATCAGACGATTCGTTAGACATGTCAAAAACTAACAGCTGATAGTTTTTTCCTTTTTCTATTTCTTTCTTGTTTTTGTCAGAAAATATGTAATGACATTCAAGTTTTTCTTAGCTTATATAAATATTCATAGGCATCAAGCGGAAAGATACAAACATATGTGTTTTGGATAATCATAATTATGTTTTCTTTTTGTTTTGTGTCATGAGATTTTCTTTTTCTAATTACATAGTAGAAAACATCTTGATTACGAACATTTTTTTTAAGGATAATATAAGCAAATTAGAATTATGAACGAAAAGAAAAACTCGAATGATGATATTAAGTATTCAGTGACAACATTATCAAAAAAAAAAGAAAACCATTTACAAACCTGCCTCGTTCCATGATCGTTCTAATAGAATAACAAGGCAATATAAAAACACTTCTTATAAATACAGAACACAGTAAGAAAAAAACAAATAATTGCTAAGCCTATATTCTTTAACAAATAAAACATAACGTCATGATCGTATAAAACAAGATATACAACAAAACATAATCATAAAACAAATCCTGAATAATTTTTATTCGTAAATATATGAAATTAATCATTCCAATCAGGATATCCAAAGTCAATCTGAAAGTAGTTAATCGAGAGTTTTACTTATCTCAAACGTCAAAAACGATATCATTGAAATAAAAATTGCTAAATTCATTGTGATGATCAATATCAGCCATCATCCTTTTTGAACTTATACTATAGAATAATGTACTGCAGATATTATCTTAGAATTTCGCCAGTAGTTTCAATCATTGACGTGAATTAACTATTTTTTTCAAATGATTTTAAAAAAATAGACTCATATAATTGGCTTCTAAAACTTTCATAGTTTATCTATTTTTTATGTGTAATGCTCATAATCTAGTAATATTTAATATCTTTTTTGTTTTTTTGTGGACTTTGACATGTATCTACAATTACATATTTATATTTACTTTTATTTTTCTACTATAGAAGAGTAATAGAAATATATTTAATTGGATATATCAACAACTCCTTAAGAAAAAGTCAATTTTTGTCACATCTATGGGCTTTAAGATTTATAGCTCGTTAAATAGAGATAATTGCTTACTCTTGAATGCATTAAATTTTATTGATTTCATGATAAGATTCAAGGATACTAGTTAAGCTTTTATATACTCTCATGTTGAAGAAAATAATCTTTATTTTAAAAGTTTAGATTTTTAAAGTCATTCAAACTTTTCTTCTGACATTTAGCAATGATAACCATGGTTGTCGTACAACGCTAAGTATGATAAATGGCTACAACATTTGAACATGATAAAGAACACAATGAAATGAAGGTGTCAGCGAATTAAAGACTCACACAGCTTTGACAAAATCACATGAAAAAAAAACTTTTTTTGAATATTTAAACGTGTATTCAGCTATTTAGCTTTTGAATCTATACAAACGTGTGAAATCCTTACGTTCTTGATAGTTTCACATTGCATTTTTTTAAATATGTATTCAAAATGAATATTTGTATGTGGATTTTAACAACACTTTGCCTTTTGTAATAAGAGTACAAAGACATTGTGTTCATTTATCTCACAGTTAATAAAGGATATAGTTAAAGTAAAGAAATATTTCATTCTCGTCTAGCGAGTTTCGCATAATAATAAAAATATATGTGTAAAATGTGCAATTCATTCCTATTTTATTATATGAAATTCTTTTTTCATTCTATTTTTCCATTCAGGCTCATATTCATGAAATTGCTTTTCTTCTACATGATGCAATCTAGATGATTTAGTACGTTTTGTTTTATATTCATGTTTGCAATAATCGACTGTTCAATCGAAGAGCAAAAGAATATATTTCGAAGACAACATTCTGGTATCTAAATTCAAATGTCTTTTCGTTCTTTCTCTTGGACTAGATTTGAACTCGTTCTCAGCTAGAATGAAAAGTCTATTATAAACATGCACTTTCATACTCTTTTATGTGTTATTTTAAAGGATTAAGAAAATTCTATCTTACCTTGTAAATATTGTGACATTTTATTCGTTTGATCTTTGTATTTAAAAGACATGCGATTTCGTCTGTTAAGTTTACAATTTATCTATTGTTTTAATTAAGATCTTTTGCATTGTGTGCTCTCTACTTGTAATCCGATGGGACATGTTGTTTAAGGTATTCGTTGTGTTTTGATAAATAGATAGATAAATAGACGGATAGAATACATAAATATTTATATAATTGAAAGATATATATGTAGATTGACAGATAGATAGGTATGTTAATATATGGTTAGCCATATAGATTTTTTCAACCAATTTCGAAAGCAAAAATTATCAAAGACTAAATATCGAATGATAAAAATAGGGAAGAGAAAAATTATTAGATGTCTTCACTCTTACTTTAGTTTATTTAGTTTGTCGATAGTTTTATACTTTAACATTTAAATCTGTCAATCAAATTTACGTTCATCAACTATCTAGTGAAATAATTACATAGTTAGATGGATAGTCAGACATTTCATCAAGTAGGTTTTTAAGCAAAGAGCTAGATCAATAGTAAGTTTGACAGATAGTTAAATAGATATAGTTACTGTCTATTGCAGAGTTAAGTGGCAGCAGACATTTTTTGAATAACTGAAAAAAGACAAGAATTCAACAGTTCATATGTGTCCAATACTGTCCGAAATCAACAAAAAGTTCTGTTACTTTTCTCATTGAACACGTGGTGAATTTTGAAGATGGTCTCCATCCAGGGTGAGTCTTGGTGTGAATATGTCAATAGCCACACCCATAGGTCTACATCCATCTTCAAACCCTAGTGTTGAAAGGTCCAAATTGTAGCTCTTTGTTTAAATTTAAATACAGTCAAAGTGTGTGTAAATCTAAAATAAACATGATTTAGATAGATATATAGATATATAATAAATTATGTAAGTCGATAGATAGTTTCTGGACAATTACTTAGATAAATAGATAGGTAACTAGACAAATAGACGGATACAAAATAGATTAGTTGATATGTAGGGGAAAGTTGTATACGTGTTTGCATGTAAATTGATGGGTAAAGAAGTAGATCTGTTTATCTGGCTATCACGTATTGATATTATATGAATGGCCTAAAAGATAAAGACAATATATGAAAAAACAAATCTGAAAAGTGATAAAAGTAGTTTAAAATCACTCCAAACTCTTCAGTATTTGAATTAACGGAGAAATTTTGGACTCATGGACACATATTATTTTGATCCATAATCTTATGCTAATGCACCATAGACTTAATGCATTGAGCTGATTTTTTTTAGTATGAAGTGTTTAACTCGAGACGCATCTCTACTGAACATGATTTATTGAATGCCCGATGTAAACCAGTAGAATCAGAAAATACAATGATGTCAAACACATGAGCCATCCGAAAAAGAGGAGAGCAAAATTATTTAAGTATGACGTAAAACGCTTACGTACTTCAGCTACTATGTGCTTTTAAAAACTGTACTTTAATATATTATGAATAGGGCATTATAATATTTTTTTTTTTGACCTAAATGAAAAAATTCATTTCTAGCCTTAGTTATCACTTTTCTTAGAACATGGTCTTCAAGCAGAAAAATTGTACATCCTCCAATATTGTTCGTTTTTGATAATTCTATGTTGAGAAAAGCGAGATTTAATGTCATGAAATCACTTTTTCTTGCTCATTTTAACATTATATGTACTAAAATTATCATAAAAAATGAATAGATGCGAATTTCAAAATTATGTTCGAACAAAAAACTGCACGCAAATATTGGCTTTAATTTCAAATCAATTCAGGCTTTGTTACTCTTGTAATGAAGAAACTATAAAGATTCTTCTGAAAACCATCAATGTATAATATATATGTAAGCTTGACGCTCGGTCTTACGTTGACGTATCGGGTTACAATTTGTACTAAAAGTGTTTCTCACTAGAATCATTCATTCTTGAATATTTTAGTCCAAAAGGTCCATTATCACTAATAAATCTATTGTGAGAAAGCCCCTCAAGAGACAAGTGATATAATCTTAGGTCCACGAGATATCAAAATTGATGCCGTTTTAGTTTCATTTTTGTACTCCTTTTAATGCTGTAAGAATATTTTAGTCCAATCATTGCGGTTGAGTGCCTACGTTGATCGACACATATCCACAAGGTATGTGCTCAAAGTCCAGTATCACTTGACATAAGATAACCCTGAACAAGTCACTAACAGTTATTTGTCGCAGACCATCAGTGCGATAGCATGCTGACTGCGTTGTAACATAGATCATCTGTTGTGGCTATTGTTCAAAAAGAAAATCTGATTTTATGTAAAACTTGAGTATTATACAAAAGTATATATCAGATGAGTTCTATTACACTAACGAGAGAATCGTCCCGATTGACATTCACCGTTTGAGCATACATTAGATTTACAAGCATTTGAAAATTCAATAATTCGATGAACGAACATTCATTTTGGCTGAAACTTATAGTATATTCTATGGGTCATTAGATCTATCTAGAGGCAAAACTTTGGATTGAAATTCCGTTTTGGAATTTTTTCGGTGAATAACTAAAAATGGATCAGAATCTCAGTAAAATGGTCATAACTTGGCACAGGCTCAATATGGGCTTAAATGGCAATTGTTAATTGGAGTGATTCTCTTGTAAGTCTATTATTTTATTTAAAAAAGAAACAAGATAATATTCAATCGTTTTGAAATTTTCAAATGAATATATATAAAACATTAAAGAATGTTTTATTAATATTTTTTACCAAAGCAAGTGACAGTATTAAAGAAACAAAGCAAAGGTTTGTAAATTTTATGTGGCGTAGGTGAATCTCGTTTATACGAAGTAGAACGTGATAAAATATTGTCATTATCTAATTGAATTAAGTCATATGGAGATTCATTTTGTTGATTCAACTAAAACAAAACAAAAAAAAAAGAAATGAACCAACTATTTAAAGATAAATATTATTTCATAATTACTTTTTGAAAATATTCATTAATTGGATAAAATCGATCATTGAGTATTGATACATCTTTCGAATGAAATACACTGAGTGTTAATGACTGATTTATTTGATAAATAAATAATATATATATAAATAATAACGACAATCGTAAATTTTTTATCATGTTTAAAATTTCAGAATTCTACAATATGAAAGATATGTTTTTATTTATAATCTATGCTATATATCTCGCAAGCTTACTATAAAGAAAATTAATCGTTGAGAATCTTGTACTTTGTTGTTTTGCAATTGATGCTAATGTAGATGATGTAGAAAATTTAATTAGATAAAACAATCTGTTTTTTCTCTTGTAATCTAAAGAAATTCACAGACAAAAATTCTTTCTATCTGAAATCAATTTATATTTATATAAAGTCTTTTTAATAATAAATCTAAGATTTTTTTTCTAGAAAGTACACGTCAATATTTAAGTAATAAAAGTTTAAATAATGCAGAATTAAAAAAAAAAACTAGTAATCAAATAACCTATCAATTATGAATAGTTTTTTTTCTTCTGACAGGCAATGTCTTTTCTTTTTTCTTCTATCATTTTAACAACTCTTAAATTAATTGTGTAGGAGTATGACATAAGACCTTGTACTTTTGTATTAATTCATATGATTAATCGAATGCTTTATAGACATGAATTGCTTTAAAATACATTTTAGTAATATGACACGTAAGACAATTTTACACTACTCATGATCTGTATTAATCATGTATATTTTTAAATACTTATGCAATAACAAGATTTTATTTTTATTTTTTAATCATTTTGTTGCATTAGGTTTTAGTAGTTCTATGTTGAAAGAAAACTTGTTCTATCAAAAAAGAAAAGGTAGAACTTTTTATTCTCATTTGAATGGTGTATAATGAGTTTTTTATATTATGTTCATTAACAAAACATGCAATAGAATAGAGTGAATGTTCTTAACAGTAAATTTGAACTTTTTAATGAGATTCAGAGTAACAGTACAAAATGTTGATTCTTATGCACTTCTTCGACAAATACCTTCTGAAAAGAATACGTTATTTTCGCCAGTCAATAAAAAAAATGTTCTCCTCAACCGGACGATGTATGACATATATATATTTCATTTATGTGTAAATGAAATACAATGAGAAAAAAAAGAAACACTGATTCATTAAATAAATTTTGTAAAACGATAATTAATTATGATTAACTGTGATCTACAAATGCTTTTAACGAGTTCATATAAAAATGGTTCATTTATTGCCCCAATGATTCTCATTTTTCTAGTCTCATTTCATTTACGAACAAATAAGCCATATAAATGATGTTTTGTTCCAAAGAAGATAAAATTTCCTTAGTCTACTGACGAAAAGTAGATATTCTTGTGCTTTTTCTTTGCAACTGTGTTATTTTGTTCATGAACATGTTATCAAAAGTTTTCTATACGATTTGAAAGAGAAGAAAACGATTCTATCTTTTAGTAAATAAAACTTTTCTTTCAGCATCCCTTTATCAAAGAGAAATAGAAATCGACATATTGCGTCATTACTTCTGCATCATACGTTACAAAAGATTATTTAACATATAGTTTTTCCAAACATTCTTTTCGATTATGAAATCATTCTATTATTCCGTTTTATTCGATACATTTTTTCAAAAACAAAAACTTATATTTTCATAAACAAATTTGTTTAATCATAACGATTACTTATATGTTCAAGACAGTATTAAAAAGAGGAAACGAACACCAATAGAAAACGATTTAATTATAAATAGTATTTTTATAAGTTTTGAGCCTCGACAAAATCATTCTGTATAAGTGTGTATACCATTTAGGAAACTGTCGATCCTTCCGGACCGAGGCTTGCCCGCGTGTGAGTGTACAAAAAACATGAACTCGCAGTTCCCAACTTTCTTGATTTCGTTTACATGAATACAACTAAAAATATTCTATACAACTGAACGTTTTTGATTTTGATCACTTTCAATGACGAATTTTGTTTATTAATTAACTGTTCAATTTTCTTTTTTGTTAACATTATGCTCTTTTTAAATTGGTGCAAACTTTTTATTTATCAAGCATTGAGTGATGGGAAAGTGAACAACAAGAAATAATTGTACGTTGACTTTTTTCTGAGTACTTGGGTTCGGATTCACAAAAAATGTGAACCCGTCACTTTCTATTACCTTTTGTTTATCATCGATCATTGATTCTTTATGTTATCTGACTAGTTCAATGACACATTAACATCAACACTTAATAATTTCAACTGAACTTTAATATCTAATCAATTCATTATTTAATTAGAAAATAAATTTTGTGATAATCGATTTCGCGTGTTTCTATTCCTATTATTAAAAAAAAAAAGGTCATATTAAACAATTTTAAGCTATTTCAAATGCTGATACAAATGTTCAAAGCTCATATAAATAAATATTCAGTAGGCGTTAAATCTTATTTCTTATGAGATTTTGTTGACATATTGTGATAAGTTCTTTTTACCTTCGAAGGAAAGCAATATTTCTTTTGTACCTTTCAAGATTTATCAGTCGTAAAAAAAAAACGAGTACTTATCATTGAATTATTGTATATGACTTTGGAAGTGTGACACAAATACATAGCTACTTGAGTATTATAAACTGTCAATAAACATTACCCTCAACAAATTTCAATCAGAGACCAGCAATGATTTATTCTCTACAAAAGTTCAACTCGTTGTTATTGATATGATAGTTTATTAATGTATAGCATTATTAACAATTGAGATTGTATCTGATTTGTAGATATTTCAACCGTTTGAAATCAGTAGTAGGATAATTAGTCGCATGGATCTAATCTAATAATAACTTTTGTTTTCATTGATTAAGTATCTTATTAAGTTATATTTGAAATGCGTAATTCCATGAGTATCAAGCGAGGTTGAAGATATTTCTGATGATTAAACTTCGATTTTTAATCTCTAGTTGTATCATTGTAATGAATCCTGATATGAAAAAACAATTGGATTTGTGTTCTATTTAATGATTAATATTGATGGAATGAAAAAACTCTCAAATACGAGGTACTATTAAAAGTAGTTCTTATACTTTAAAAATCATCAATTAAATCTAAATAATGTCTATGCCGCCACAAAAGAAGATGAGCGTTTGTTCAATAATTCAATAACAGTAATAGCTAGTGACCGGCGCGTTTCAGAGATCCAGAGAAGAGAACTTCGAACGTCTGCTGTCTGACACCATATAAGACAACATTATTTTGAAAGCCATCATTGTTGCAAAATATTTTAGAAAACACATGAAAATGATATTTGGTTTCAAGGAAATTTGCTAAAAATCAACAAAATTCTACATGATTTGGCTGTATAGATACACGACTGATGCTTTGTTGAATGATAATTTTTTTAAATAATAGAATCTAATACATCAAATCCAATTAAAAGTTATATTTTTTCTGATAAGACTAAAGCTGTTGTTCATTAGTGAGTATTAAGTTTCATTTGTCATCTCAAAGCATTTTCACATGTGTCAGAAATCTTGAGCTACGGCACAAATTAGAACAGATACAATATTGTTCTTGCTTGCATACATAAACTTTTTATACAAACACAAAGATCTTTGCAATACTCGAGATCAAAAATCGAAGTTTTGCCATTAGAAATATCTCTATCTAGTTTTATAGTCGACGAATTATGTATTTCAAACTTATTTTAATAAGACATTTCATCAACGAAAAATACTAATGTGTCGTCTTAACCTACGAATTTACCTATAATGCGAAAGAAGGTCACATCAGAAATCGAATTTTATCTTCAGAATAGAAAAAAGTTGTATTTTCAATTATTTGTAAGATTTATAAATAATCATTTTAAATGAAATACTATGGATTGATTGACAAAACCACTTTTCAATAAAAAGAAATAATTCCATTTTTAAAGCAATATAAAGGTTACTAACATCTATTTCTAGATCAATCTTAATTGAATTCTTCGTTAAAAATTCAGATTTCAAATTAGAAATTTCAACAATTCGATTAGCATGTCATTAAAACTGACCCAAGCAGACAAAAATTTCTGAAAATGCTTTAATGGCAGTTTCTATTTGAGCATTTTAATGTTTATTCGTCAAAAACCAAAACCAGCTACCTTCATTATACAAGGTACATGAAGATACTTAAAAAAAAAAATTTTACATCTGAAAAACGTTCCAAACGTGTCCTCACTATATTTTTGACATATTGTATTCATAAAAAAGTCATTTTTTATCTGAAAACTCGTCATAGTATAAGGAAAAAATATTTTTGAACGTTTTCAAGATGCAAAATTTGTCTTTGATGTTTTCTGAACGAACATGAAAACGTTTAAACGAGAACCGTGATCTAGGACGTTTAAATGCATTTTCAGTCACCTATGTTCTATGATTAAAGCAACTTGTTAATTGCAATATATCATAGGTTTTGCAAAGACAAATTTGAATATATCTACTACATTTTTTCTACTTAACACGTAATAAAGCAATATATTATCCAACTTTCTCGTATACATTTCAAAAATTCATGATCATCATGCTCCTATCAGCTAAAATAATTGACAATGAAACTGAACAAATATAAAGATATTCATAATATACCAGATAAACATTCATTAGTTTTCATATTAAAAGTTATTCCGATGATTTAATATATTTAAACATAAAGCTATTAGCTCAATCACTGCTAAATTAAATGTGAATTACTAATCACACAGATATTAACTTTATTTATGGTATTTTGAGACACATTTCTTCGTTATTCGTTTACTGAACCTTCCAGAAGTGCAATAAGGATGTAGTTCATAAATATAACGAGACATTATTGATATACGGTCTGTGATGTGAGAAGGAAATAGAGTTGCAATCAGTACCAGTCTAAACTGACCAGACCTGCAAGAATCCTTTTTCACTTTTCTCATCCTATAACAGTTAAATCAACTTCTCCATCAGTTATGTCTTTTACCTTTGAATAACTACAGAAGTAACTAAAGATTGTCACATAGTTCCGTAGAAATGGTGTTGAACGTTGTTTTCTTCACTTTCAATTTCGGTAAGTTTTCTCTCTCTTGATACTTATCGCTGAAAAGAAAATTTCATAGAATTATAAATACTAAATTAACTTT